AAAGCTCACTTTTTAATTTGGGGCGCCCACTGGGCGCTAAGCACTGGCAATGGCGCTACTGCACAGAACATCGACTTTTACCTCCAAACAGCCCAGCCCTTACTTTCTCATCCACTTACTCATTTACTCATAGCTCCTACCCTCAAAGGATTCAAAATCTGGTTAGGACATGCTGGCCGAGAGTTGCAGCTGAACAAGGCTGCATCACGTGGCGTCCACGCGCCAGAACCCCCTGCCGCTCGGGGCTGGGATAAAGGTGAGCAGTGTCCCAGGCCTGTGCAGTCGATGGTCCTGGATGACAAACCAGTGGGAAGGAGACTCGTTACATAACCAACGGCGTTAGGAAACCTGACGGTCGGGAGGAAAAAATAAAATGAGATCCGGCCTCCTGAGGCATGGTGAAGACTTAAACGTAAATAAAAGCATAGAAATTAGAAGAAAACGTGGCTACCTAACCAATGATAAAGAAAGGAAAGAGCATAAAAGCAAAGAAAGAAATTGCCCAGGAAAAGGTAGATTCGATCACAAATGAGAAAGAATGTCAGTATGTCAAAAAGCAGAAAGGTACAATCTACGTGAATGAAAAGGGCTAAGAGCCTTAACATCTGAAGAACACCTACAGAAGATGAAAAAGGCAGGAAACAGTCAATTGCATTCGTGATGAGATGAATTCAAATTAAAATGACGAGAAACCATTTGGGACTACCTATATGGTTTTACTACATTGACAAAGCTGTTTTGTTTGTTTGTTTTTAAGGACAATTCCAGAATTATCTGCCTTTCTGGAGGCAATGTTCCTACCCTGTCCCCCTGTCCTTCTGTTTCTAGAACGATCCGGAGACATGCCAAAGACTTACTCACAGGGTTGCTCGCTGCACGGTTACTTATTGTTTTAATATTGTAAACTCCTGGAAATGTAACAGCAAAACTGGAAAATCCCTACCCAACGACAGCAGTTTGGTTAAACAGATGACGACAGACTCCAATGATAGAACGAGATGCAGCATTGAGAAATCAGAGTGAAGTCGCTGTATTTTTAACATGACTAGTTATGCTTTTCTTCATTTCTCAATTTTTTTAAACAAAATTTTTTTTTCGTTCAGAATAAAATCACAAATGTAATTTGAAATTGTGTTCCAAGGGATGGGATTTAATGGGGCCAGAGCGTGGTAAGAGGCCCACTCACACACCCTGTAAATGAATACACACTTCCCAGAGGGTAATTTGGCAAAGCATATTAAAGCCTTCACATGTTCATGCATTCGGCCAGTTCTTCTTCTTCTAAGAACCTATCTGAAGGAAACAAACAGAGATGCCAAGATATCTGTACAGGATGTTCTCACAGGATTATCTGCGATATAAAAATTTGAATACGATACACTCACTGACAGGAGGAAACCGGTTGAATAAATGGTAGCATCCATCTGAGGTATGTTATGCAGTGGTCCGTATATGGTGGAAGAAGTCTTAATAGCATAGGGACATGTTTATGCTAAGCTGAATTTTAGAAGCAAGATAGAAACCTATATATAGTCACAAACACAGGCAAGGATTCTTGCCTCCTGATAGTGACAGCCTTGTGCGGTCCCCTCCCACCCTGCCTCGAGCGCACAGGTATAACCATAGGCTATAGCAGAAATGACAGGGTGTGACTTCGGAAGCCAGGCCTTGAAAGATATTGATAGAGACAGAAAGTAGCATAGAGGTTACAAGGGGCTTTGGGGGGGTGGGGACGGGGATGAGGAGTCATCACTTCATGGGGACGGACTTTCAGTTTGGGATGACGAAAAAGTTCTGGAGATGGATGGCGGTGATGGTTGCAAACACTGTGAATGTGCTTCATGCCATCGAACCGCAGAGCTAAAAATGGTTAAAATGGTAAAGTTAACCTTTACCGTTAATATTTAACAGTAACTAATGGCAATTAAAATGATCAATTTAATATTTACCATTTAAATTTAATATTTTACCATAATGAAAAAAAAATCATTTTAAGGTATTGCAAGGCTCTGCCTCTGTCTCTGCTGGGTCCCACGGTGGAAGCCCCGCCCCCTCAGAAGGTGCTCTGACCGCAGGGAGACTGAGGGGCCAGGTGTGTGCGTGAGCCCCTGAGAAAGCAGATCCTCCCGCGCCCGCCACGCCTTCAGCCAAAGACGACAACCATGTGAAGTAGTAACGACGCTGATTGCTTTCGGCCGCTAAGTTCTGGAAGACTTTCTTATTCAGCAGCAGGTAACGAATGCGGAGAAAGAGGCTCAGGTTTGAGCTGTCTCCGACCCTTTTCGGGCTTAAACCACCGCTTGTTTTTCTAGCTTTCACTCTGGCTGCGGAAGGCTGACAAGAGCCACATCCACAGTTACAACTAGAACACTAGGTAACACGCAGGTTCAGAATCCTTCCGGAACACGCGGCCAGCGGCAGTGGCGGCTGGGGGCGGGGCGGTGCTGGAGGGAAACGGAGTCAGGAGGAGGGGGGGGGCTTTGCTCCTTCCTGCTGGCCCCTGTGCCTGTCACCATGCACTCAGCAGTGGCCCTGGGCGGCGGCTGCTCCCTGCAGCTGCCACCTCTGTGTTCCCTCAGGGTTTCTTTCTTTGCCTTTTTAGTCCTCCAATAACACCTGTTTAACCAATGCCCTAAATTAAATCCTCTTTGGTCACATCACCACGTGGTGTCTGTTTTCCTAACAGACACAGTGCGGGACAGGAACACAATCCCACTCATCAAGCACGGTGACAGGTTCTCTCTGAGGAGCAGGGATATAAGAGCTCCCCCCTGTCCAGGTAAGCCTCCATCATCTGACCTTGACGCCATTCCCGGCTGTCCCCTCCACCCCCACGCCCCCGCGGTCTAGCTCACCGTGCTCTTAGTCACCCCGGCAGGACATTTCCCTTCATCTCCCCACGCCTCCTGAGCCCCGCTCGACTCAAGTCAGACACTGAGAAAACGAGACGCCTCATCTTTCTAGGAAACACCATAGAGAAGGGAGGGTTCGGTGTTTGGTTGGTTGGTTGGTTGGTTGGTTGGTTGGTTGGTTGGTTTTGCCCCTTGGAAGAAATAATGAACATGAAAAGAACGATTTCGATTAGGCTGATGTTTTCATTCTTATAGAAAGTCACTGAACAGGAAAAAGAAGCCCAGAAGCTCGTCTCATCTCTTTCCTGCTCTACTCCTTATCGCAAGTTCGCCACCAGCTGACCTTCTCCGACTCACTTTGCTGACGAGATGGCAGGAAGATGATGTGCTTGTGAGCACGCATCCGTGCACACTGAAGCACACGCACAGAAGCACACGTGCACACCCAGGAGTGCACGAGCATGCACACACACGTATTCCAGTCTGCATATCAATTTACCTCACTGAAACGATGCTACTAAAACTTCCAAAGATATATTAAACAAACAAACAAACAAAAACAAAAAAACTCCAGGACACGTCTTCACGGAGCTGATACTGAGAAATAACAGAAATGACATTCCCTACAGCCTCACTGCTCGCGAACTACAACCGAGTGAAAAAAATGAGAGTCTCTCTACCACCTGAGGAAGACCCCAGGGCCCCAGCAAAAAAAAACCTAGTTTAAAGAAGCAAAACAAAGCAACAAAACTTAGAGAAAGACCCCATTCTGCCTTTGCTCTATGGGGCCTACGGCAAAACCTGGTGCTTAGAAACCGTAGCTGTTATGTCAATGGTTCGTGATGCGCTCCAAAAGGCCTCAGTACATGAACAGATATGCAATGTATCTGGGACACTGGACTTTCTGGACAGGTGGTATGTAGGAAAAAAAAGTGTTAACAGGGCTGCTTGGGGAGAGGACAGAGGGCGGTCATGAAAAACGGCCGAGAAACACAGTCTAGACGAAGTCACACACACTGGCCTCATTCTGGTTGCTCAGACATTCCCACTAGTGGTATAGTTCCCTCCAGATTCCTATAAACTCGGACCAAACATAGTTTTTTCTTGAGTAAGAAGAGTCAGGAATAGGATCCAGGGGAGAATTTAGTCTGAGCGGACACGAACAAACCTCGGCTAACGGTGCCTTTGTGGAAGCTGAGAGCCAGCGCTCAAGCCGGCCCTTTTGCCGTTGCCAATGCATTTTTGGTTGATGCCAAAGAGCTTATTTTTCTACTTCAAGTTACCCCGTTCCCTCTAGGTCAGTCCAGGCTCCCTCAAGTGCCGTCCCCACTGCCACTCACACATCACAGAGGAGGGGCCCCCTGTGTTACCACTGTAGACAGACGTGACTCACCCGTCTTCACTTTGAGGACACATGTGTGCACCTGATAAGTTACTGTCTTATCTGTACCGCTCACGTCCTCTGACGGGACACTTCCGTAACCACAATACAATCAGCTCTCTCTGTGGTTTTGTGTCCCAGCTACTGATTACACTGTTATAGCGACTTTGCAAATATTTTATGAGACATTCATGGTACGTGGACCAAATACGCACTTCCACTCATGTAACCACGACGTGCTCACTTCATCATCGCCAACGTCTGCGTGATCCTAAGGCTATCCACTTGCTGTTCATGCAACCATCTCATCGAGTATCATGAACAAGGTTTTGTGCTTGGTGCTGTGAGAGCCAACGAGATTTCAAAGCACAGTTTCTGCTTGCAGAGCGAGAGAGAAGTGCACGAACAATGATATACTGTGAGGTACTTTCAACAATTCTGGAAGAGATGGCACGTCAGAGCCGCTGGTGTTTCAGAGGGGGGAGACGTCACTGCCAGAAGCAGGAAGTCAGGGAAACGTCACGTCGACAGGTGGATTTCAGCAGGTAGAAATGGGGGTAGAGAGGGCAGCGTCACGAGCAAAGGTGGGGAACGGCAGGGGTCGAGGGGCAGAGGCAGGAAAGTAGAAACAAATGCCCCAGGACGATGGGAGGCGGAGGCCTGTCTACCTCGCCCCGTACAGCCTTTTATATCCAAAAGTCTGAAACCAAATATTTTACAACTAGAATATATCATTTTACTTTAGTGAAGATTTTAAGAACATTTACCTTCAGCTGGAAATTTCTTGGCTCGTTCCTCAAAGAACCATTCTCCGGTTTTTATTTTCACATTTCTGAAAAACAAGCAGAACGGATGCCTCAGCCAGAGATGTGGCTACGGCAGTACTGGGTTAGAGGCAGGTGGACAGCATCACGTATATCAGTCTGGCGAGGGACGTCAGAATCAAATTTCAGGCCCAGCTCCTAACTTCACCGATTTCCCAGAGAGGTTAAGAGGCAAAGTGAAGAATCTCTACTTGGACATATTTTACCTTATATGTAATAAGTACACGTAATATAGTCATATTACCCTGTGCATGTGCCCAACACATAATAAGTATTTAATGCCTTCTGAAGAAATATTCGAGAAACAAAATTGAATATACAGATTTTGTATTATTAAGTCACACACCTGAAATTCATATAATGTTATTAGCCAATGTTACCCCAATACATTTAATTTAAAAAAATAAAATAAAAGATAATAACATCATATTTATGGTGGGAAGCAATGGCGTAAAGGATAAACTACAAAAAAACTCCATGCCGTCTGTTTGCTAAGAGGAAGATCGTCCTTAGCTTAGTTTAAGGTGAGTTTGAGTTAGCCACATTTACCAAGAGCCAACAGAAAAGGTTCCAGGGAGGACCTGAAGTCTGGGACATCGGATCAACGTGCCTCAGTGGAGATTTGGTGACCGGGGTCCTAGTGGACCACTTGAGAAACCAGGAAAACAACTTCTTAGCCAGCCGGTCTGAGAGCAACTCCTTCCTTTAGTCACATAGACTAGAGAGCAGCTCAGGGGACACTTTCATATGACCACTGCTTGAAACTGAAGTCCTAAAGTGTGTTTTGACAGTTTCCAAATTTCTGGTGAAACCCCCCGCAACCTCGAAGAACCTTGGAGAGGCAGGATTGTTAATATCCTTTTAGGATGTAAGAAGGTAAACGCACAGATAAATTCTTCACGCCCTTAAAATACTTTGCCACAAAACCTGACAATTCCTTGGTTATGTAAGTTTAAGAAAAATCTAAAACTTCACCTCATGGCAAATTCTGTTAAGGTATCTACTGAAAGATGCTGCCCATCAGGCTCTTTTAGGCTAAATATGAGCTCAGATGGCGTTTTTAAAGTTAATGCTTACCAATGCCGTCAGTGTAAGTAAATTCACTAATATACACTAATCCACCTGTTTTTGTTTTTAAAGAAATAGCCTGTCTTTCCCATGCAGTTCTAGTGGTTGTCAGAGGCAGCAACCAACTTCCTTCCCTTCATCTGGTTAGAAACTATTAAAATCTCTGATTAGTACATAAATGATTTTTTCCAATACTTAGTGACTAGAAGGAAATCATACATAGAGCATTTATAAATTTTGATAATCAGTCACTACTACTCAGAGCTAAAAATATATAAAGTGTTCAGCTGTGATATGTCTCTAGAGAGACAGGGAAATGTTTGCAGCCATAACATCAGGCACTCGACTATCTAGTCTACTAAGTCAACACGAAACGTTTTAAGAAGAACTCGACAACTCAGCAGAAGTTACGTTTCCCTCTGGCCCTTGAAATAAGGCAGAGGGACAAAAACCAGGGCAGATTTGGAGAGATTAAAGGGGTGGTGAATTCACACTCCTTCCAAGTGTCTATTTCTGAGGCTATCTCGTTCTTACAGGCAGGACAAGGTCCAACCGTTAGATGAGGAGAACGGGTTAGCAAAATCAACGGTGGGAACAAGGAGCCTTTGTCTGATAAATCGACTTTACTTCCTGGGGTTTTTTTTGTTTTTTTGTTTTTTTTTGATGGTGGTGACCCGTCTCAGTTAATTACTCTCTCACACTCTCCAGCTCCTCATCCTTGTGACCAAAAGCATTCATATACGAGACAAGTGTGGAGATGGAGCGAGGCCTCAGACTGGAAGAGAGATCAGAGCTAAGATGCACCAACAAATCTAACCATGACCCTCTCTGTGGTCAGCTAAGCTGGCCAGACACAGGCCACGAATGAGAAGGAAACGCGCACACAGACACACAATGACGAAAAATGAAAAACGGTTAAGGGGAAGGGGGAGAGGAAGGTGAAGACACCTGAGTAAATTATCATAGCGAATTACTACCAAGTCCTCCCCCGGCCCTGGTTTCAGAACCCACACGAGAAGCAGATAAATCGCAATGCTAGTCACCTAGTGCTGGGCATCGAATGTAACCTTCTAACCATCTGACTGATTCCCAGCTGTCACTTGTGAAGTTCAAACAGGAGCTTATTTGTCACGGAGCGATTTGGTCACAAACCCACAGGTCTCTTGGACTTATCCGTGATTAAAGAAAGGAAGGGGAAAACACCACAGTTCTAAACCAAATGACGGCCAGCATTTTTCGCCTTGGAGTCTGTTTCCTTTGAGAACTAGATCTGAGCTGGATCTCCATTAATAATTCTTGCAGAGTCAGACGTTTCATAAGCAATTATTCTCGGTACCTTTCACAAGGGCTCCCTGTTGTCACAAATCCCAAGTTTAAAAAGGGAGACCATTCATTGTTCTTAGTGTCTAAAACAGAGGTAAGCAGACCTTGCAGTGGTGGCACCTCAGTGTCTCTGTCCTCGTTAGGGCCAACACGGGGTAGCCCGACTCACCGTAACCAAAGGAAGCATTTCCTATTTCTTCCCAGACAACTAATCAAGAATCTGGCTAGGAAAGCTTCTTGGAACATTTTCTGAGCTCGGCAATAGGTTAACGCTTTTATATTTCTCAAACAGAATCACGACTTGCTTCGTTAAAACATTTTCAATCAATCGGCAAATATATCTCAAAAACACAAAAGCCAGGGCGATGGAGAAAGCGGGAGGTATATATAGAGTCAGGAGATCTGAGTTCTCTGGGTATCTGACCTTTCCTCGAACTCTGCATGAGGGTCACTGTAATGGGAGCTGCCAAGCACAGCTACAGGGAGGCTCTTGATAAACTTCTGGAGGCTCCAAAGTCCATTTCCATAGGCTTGAACTCTGCTGATGCTGTCATTTCATTAGCAAATGAGAAATGGCTGTTGAAAAGCACTTTGCAAATTCTAGCACACGAACAGTCAACAGTACAATGAATGGACGACCCTGACAGTTTGACCTCCTTACTATCAGCAAGCAGTGAGCCAACAGGCCTCCTGGAATGCATTTTTATTTTGCATCCAGATTACTCCAATGTGCAGGTGGTTAAGTTGTCCATGCTTTATGCTCCCGAAAAACTCAGCATAACGTCCCTGGAGTCACTCAATGTATTTTCCACCATTCAACAGACAGAGGTGCAAGGAAAATCGGTCTGTAAACGCATCAATGCTGAAAGAAGCACATTTCCAACCAGTGCCCTGATGGCACGAAGCCTCAAGCGAGGCCTGGTGGCTCGTCAAACAACCTGCAAACACTCCAAAGGAAGAAGCCGAATATCGTAAAACTGAGATCAGCCTAACTATTCTGAGCTAGCTTGTCCAACCGGGAGGTGATTCCCAGCTAAGATCGTCCTGTGCACGCATACAGTTGGCATTTGTTGTACTTCAAATCATCTAAGACGATTTTTAGTTACAAAGCAAAACAGTTGCATTTTTTTTTTTCCATTAGCTCGGTTGATCTGATTTCAACGTTCTTACAGGAAAAAAGACTGATCGTTGTGATTAAATCCTAGGTAACTGGGAGAGAAGTCATAGCATCGAGATGAAGATTAAAAAGAAAAAAACAAAAACGATTTTATCAAGCGGCTGCCACCGCTTCATGCAAAACGCTGAACGCTTGCCTTTGCTCGACCTCAGAGAGAAGACGGGTCCCTGCTGTGCCATCTTCAGTGCTGTGTTCACAGCTCTGAGCTGTTGGCGGCGCATGGCAGGGGCCAGTGAATATGAGTGGGTGGGTGAATGAAGGAACAGCCCCACGTCTGCAGGGAGCACCGATTTGCAGGGATAATTTGGAGCGCTGGTGACAGCATGCACGTGCCCTCTAAACGCGCAGGGTGGGCTCGCGAATCCAGGCGCCCAGCAGAAACTGAATGAGGAGAGTGGGCTGGGTCTGAGAGAGTGGGGAGCAGTGGGCACCGTGGAGACCTGTAGAACCCAGGCCCCATTTTTAGGCATTAAGTGATAAATATTAGACAAGGTCTGTGGGCTGTTGACAGCCTGTTGGCCACAGATTTGTGCTTTCCAGTTTGTTGTATCAGATAGTCAACAAAAGGAAGAAAAATTCTGCAACCAGACAAAGCTGTACTCGTTAAGTCCTCAACAGTGAAAATCAGTGTAGATGCTGTGTGTTGCCCGTGGATCCAAAAAGGGGTCCACCACCACGAAAGGGGCCGTGAGGAGGGCAAAGGACAAGGAACGCCTACTCGCTGTTGGCACAACCCCAACCTGAAGTCCGGAGAGTCAGCGAGAGCCTGTGACACGATGCCACAGGCAGGAGAACCAGAGCCCCAAAGCCCAGAGAAGCGCTTCCTCTGCTCACGCATCACTGAGAGGACCAAGGAAAGTTCCAGAAAGTAGTTAGTCTCCAAAAACGTTCAAGACCCACCTCTATGAAAAGGAAACAGAAAGACATAAGGAAAAACCAGGCTGAATAAAAGAGACAACAGACTGGACTAAAAGAAGATTTAGGAAACTAATAAGCCAAAAGCAGAACGAACCGTTTTACCAACATGGAAGGAGCAAAGCGGAGAGTCTGGGAAGTTAAATTGGTGAGGCTGATGTTAGAGGTGCTTTCGAAGAATATGACAAAGAAGAAAAAGACGTTAAATGTTGAAGGGGAAGATAATACGGATGGAGGATAGAGAATGAGGCCAACCTATGTCTGAAAAGTTTTTCCCAAAGAAGCCAGAGTGAGAGGCATAAAAGAATAATGCAGATAATCAGACCTGAGTAAAGAAAATGGTACTGAGCCAAGAAGCAAAGCAAATCTGTTAGCGGCTACTATCCAAAAAAAAAAACCCCAAACAGAAAATAACAAGTGTTGCTGAGAATGCAGAGAATCTGGAACCTTGAGTACTATTGGTGGGGATGTAAAATGACACAGCTGCTATGAAACAGTATGGTAGGTCTTCAAAACATTAATGTA